TGTGGATGCAACTTACGCAGCCCAAATCCTCAACCGGCACAGCTTTCAGTTCACCCCAAGCCCTAAAAAGGTGTGGTGGGCGCGCCCCTGGCCTCCAGGATCCTGAAGGACATGCCCAACGCTGCGGTCACCGTCACGGAAGCCAGGGACCGCGCAGGCGGCTGTTGCCCATTAAGGGTAGGAAGGGGGGGTGCCCTTCGCAAGGCTAAGGCCCTTGAGCTCTAGAGCTCACACCAGCCTACCATACGCCCTAGACCGGGGCTCATTCTTGGACTCAAAGACTTGGATGCCAAGCGCACTTGGATTCGGATTTCAGGGTCAGGAAGGGAAGTTCTAGCACGTCAAGGCGTGCCAGTCACGACGGGGAGGAGGCGAACTTTCCATTTCGTTGATTTAAAAGTATCAGGGCTTATAAGGAGGATTCGAAGGTAAGCGTGGCAGAGAGAGGCGGGAACATCACCACGATGAGGGGCAACGGACGCCTTTGGGAAGAAGGCCGCGTTTGAGAGGTTCTGGTCTTGCTGACAGGGTCGTGGAAGCACTTCCTGCGTTCTAGAGCAGGCTGAAATTATTTTGTGTGACCTGATCCCACCATGTTCATTCAACAGCCTGCTGCCGTCAGATCACATGCCTCAGTCGCATTCAAAACGGCCTTATGCATTTGACCGAGCTTGCCTGCATCTATCTCCAGCTCATTGCAGCACCCTGAGGACCCAATTCCTTCCAGCCCGGGGCACCTTGCTGAAATTGGACAGCTTAAGCTGCAGCTTAAATCATCGTTCCGGAGTTCGAACGATGGATTTTCACTCAGGGTTCGTGATTCTGGGTTTCATGGTAGCGCTTCTTGCCAGTGCAGCCCGCTTGCGTCGGAGAGTCTCGATGCGTTGTTTGTGAGATGCCGGAAAAGGCTCGTCAGCCCACTCAGGATCCGATTTTGGAAACTGCCTGTGACGTGGCAGATGCTAGCTGCTAGAGCAGATGAGGGGATCATGTATTCATCATATTGCATATTATATATAAATATACACATATTAAAGAAAATGAGATATATATGTATATACATAGGTACATACACACATGTATTTGTTTGTATATATGTGCAGACACACACACGCGCATATATATATATATATATATATACATATACATATTGGGGCCCGCCCGGTCACCCCACCCGCCCCCCCAGCCCCCCCAATACGTGGTACCCCTCCCCCACCCCCGGTGATGTGGTTTGGGGGTTTGGTGTTTAGGCTTTAAGGTTTATCTTATCTAAGCTGTCGCAGGATGCGTAGGTTTAGGGGTTAAGGTTTCGGGTCCTCCCCCGGGGTTAGGATTTAAGCTTCAGGGTTTGGGGTTTAAGGAGGAGGGGAGGCGGATACCATGGGGGGGGGGATTATATGGGGGGACCAGAGAACCGCGAGCTGTCAAGTACTTCTTCGAAGAGGCCACGCTCAATCCCGAATCCTGACTTCGAATAGCCAGACGTCATAATCTCTGACGCCCCCGGCTGCGCATCCGCAAAAGCAGCGAGAGCCCAAGCCCTGCCGAGGCGATGTGGGGCTGCAGCCACTGATCTGATATAATTGGGGTGCTACTGACACCAGTTTCCCGACTGATGACCCTGCCCTGCTGTGGTGGTGAAGAGCAGGGCTTTGCGATGTGGCGACGGACCTTCTTTCTGCTGTAATCGCTTGACCTCAACGTGGGGGGGTCGATCCCAGAAATGGAAGCCGACGTCTGCAGATGCATACATATGAAGCCACGGAGCATGACACAGAGCATCATAACAGAGCTAGCCACCAGACCAGAATCTCATTCCGGTCGCAAGGGAAAATCGAGTTACAAGCTGTGCGGGGGCTGGTTGCTCCGAGGCGATATTGGTTGTTGGGGCGACTTCAAGATTTGCCTTCAAATTGCTACCTTCCATGCGTGTATATGTCAGTATATGTGTGGGGCAAGGGCATTGACGAATCAGATTTACTTAAGGCGACATGTACGTGTTCACTGCTCCTCTGGCCAGCAGAGGAATGACATCATGCTTGCCGACCCCAACAGCTACCGCTTTGTCTGGTGGGAGGCCAGCCCACGTCAGCAGGGTGGAATGTTATGTTGGATTGGAATAGTGGGGCTGACGCAGCCGGATTTCCTGCTCCTGCTTCGTGGTGGCGTGGGTCGCTACAGTCTGTACAAGTGCCCCTCCTGATTCTCGAAGAATATGTATGCGAGAGGCGAAGAAGAGGAAGAACCGAGAAACGCTCCTCTGACTCCTCTGTGCAGGGTGCCCTTCGAGCTCTGCCGGCCACCCCTGGGGATGCTGTTTTCGGTGACTTCCTGTCGTGGCCAGGAAAGATCAGGCCCCCGAGGTTGCTTAGGGTTCAGGATGTGTAGGGCCTAGGGGTTTGTAGAGGTTTTCGGGTTCAAGTGGTCACTTCACACCCTGCGCCTCTAAGCTAGGCTCTCAGGCCCCGTGCTAGGGTCCTGCTGGGCCTATACCTGTATTGGGACTTAGTGTAGAACAATCCCCACGTGTCGGTGGGCCCCAAATGCCTGCAAACCCGGACATGGGAGCGGGCCTATATAGCGCAGTCACACCATCACACCATGCCCTCGATTTCTCCTTGCTGTGTGGCGCAACAGTCAGCTAGTCACACACCCCCACGCACACACCCGCACAGACATAAACACAAAAACACACACACACACACACACACACACACACACACACACACACACACACACACACACACACACACGCACACACCCACACACCCACACCCACCCACCCCATCACACACACACACACACACACACACACACACACACACACACACACACACACACACACACACACACACACACACACACACACACACACACACACACACACACACACACACACACACACACACACACACACACACACACACACACACACAACGAACACGGGAAAGAACACCCAGTGCCAGCCAGAATAAGTTCCCAAGCGACCGCGCGCATTTTACCAAGCATAAGGGTGCCTGAAAGACACAGACCGCAAAAACCATGAGTGCCGAAAGGAGCCTCCGAGTCAGGGTATGCGCTGCAGAAGTTCATACATAAACCCAGAATTGCAGGCAGGCAATTTCCTCCTCCTGGGGTCCGACATATGGCCACGCTTCCGACGGCCACTTGCTCTTGCAGCGCGAACTGATTCGGACATACGCCTAACCTGTGTCAGTTGACCAGGCGTTGGGCATCGAGATGACATGAAATCGGGGACTGTACACCATAACACCACAGTGCTATCCAAAATCCTGGCAACCCGACCGCCATGCCGCAATGCGTCAGAGGCAACGATTTCACCTGCCCTGCATACCAAAGGTGCCCTGCGCGGGAGCGCAACCTCAATAGCCCCGGAGAGTACCAACCAAATGGAGTAGCACCTTGTAAGAGCCACCTTGGTCTGAAGTTGTTTCCAATCTCCTCTTAGAAGGAAAATAGTCGAGAAAGGGCCCCAAGGCTTACCAGGAGTCCGATTGCACTCCCTTGCCGCGTTGTAAAGATGCGAAGCCAGACCCTTGAAGGGGATAAGTGATAGCGCTGCCAACAACTTAATGTCCATGGTTCTGCAAACAAATCCACGCGAAGTCCAACCGATGAGACGATCTGGGCCACATTCAGCTGCAGCAAGAAGAGCAGCGAGTCTACCCGGTTGGATTGCTTTGGAAAGAGCCAGGGGAGCCCGCGGCGGCTGTCCAGGACCAGCATAATGAGTCTGGGTTCCCTGCAATGATCCAAAGTCCCTGGAGATCATGAGGGAGACTTTCGGTAGCCCATTGGCCTGGCGTATGTCCGTGGCAACGTCACGAAGTTGAGAGGCACATTGCAATGCAAACAGCTGTGACTCCCACATGTTAAGTAGGACACCCTCTTTCACAAGAAGCTGAACAGATGGAACCTTGTAACCGTGTGTCAAACTGCCGGGTGGCAGCCATTGTCTCATCCACAGTGGCCAAGGAGCGACTTTATGTACAGGTATGAGGGCATCCCAGCACCCGTTCTGGACGATGTAATCATGCATCCAGTAGGTGTTCCACAACCACTGTTTAGATGACCGAGTGATCCCTGGGGCACTCTCACCGGTGCCTAACGCACGAAGCCGCTTCAGCCAATGATGATACATGGCTACCGCCCACGCAGAGAGAACAGGCGACCCCTGCACGCCAGCAACCACTCCAATGTTGACGCGAACGGTGACACCAGCAACAGTAACCACGTTTCGCGGTACACGTTGAACCGGGAGCGTCTTAATTGGCTCAGTTCCAACTGCGAAGTGAGCAGTACCACGTAGAAAACATGACATAGAGCCGCCGATCCAGACATAGTCCAAATCAATAAATAGTCCCCCGTGCGCCACCACAGCAAGGGCCGACACCAGATCTTTGATCAAGCATATGTGCAAATTCGCATTCACGAGGGCCTGAGCAAACTGTTCCTCCAGCAAGGTTCTGGCATCACAAACGCAGACCCCCGCTATACCTCGCACCTGCCGAGCCACAGTGGCGGTGGAAAATGTCCAAAGGCGCTGAGTGGAGGGGCTGATGCATCTCAGCGATAAGATGCCCAATGGTGAGATGGGTTTGCCATGCGGGTTCCACCAAAATCGATGGACAGTGCCGACAAGCATGGTGAGCACAACGCAGACTCATCGACAATTGGGATTACCTTTCTGCAAAGGGCAGCATACCGAGTGATTGAGCCAAGAAAACAAAAAGGAGTCAGAAGCCAATTGATGTGGAGCTGAAATGGAGAAAGAAAAAGAAAAAATTAATGAGAAAGGCGCCCATCCAATGGGCCTTGACAAGCTGGAATGACGCTCAAAAGCGAAACAAATTGAGGCCGCGATAGAGGAGAAAAATAAAATATAAAAATAAAAAAAAAAAAAAAAAAGTGGCTCACCAAGTTGACACCGAATCTTTTTCTGGCATAGACCCGCTCGGTGTGTTGCGGTCGAGCCTGAGTCACGTCACGCCCTGAGAACCATACGTCAACAGTACTGCGCTGACGGTCCAATGTTCTGTTTGAGCCAAAGCAACCTCTAGAAGCTGCTGGTGCTGGCATCGGAATGTGTCAAGCATTTGCAGTACTAAATCATCTGGCACATGAAGTACCGGACTATCGGGTGAAAAGTCCGTGGCCCTGCCACGTTGCTTTCCCATGCTGAAAGCATCCAAGAACGCTTGAGATACTCCTAGGAACTGCCATTTCAGAGTATTGTCTTCCAGAACCTTCTCGCAAACCACCTCCGATGGCACCACCTCAGGCATATCATGCGATGTGGTTATGGAGGTTCAATTGAGAGGGTCCTGCATGTCCACCAAGCAGGAGTCAGCAATATTCATCACACCAATGTCATCCCGCAATGCTAGCAGGCGCCACTCCCGCAAGTCTGCATCCTGGAACTTCACATGAAAGCACCCCATCTGTAGTGCAGTGCCAACACCATTTCTCACGTGTAGGTGAAAAGCACATGCATGAGTAGGCGCAAGGCGAAGTCTGCATCCTGGAACTTCACATGAAAGCACCCTATCTGTAGTCTCGCAGGCAGTTACTACCCTGCTTAATCCAGCATGCAGGTCCTACATCCAGGCACCAAAGACCTATAACAATGCTGTATCCGGCTGCAGAAGGAAAAGAAGTGCGGATCGGTCGCAGAGGGCGTCGCTTACCGGCAACAATAGCCAAAACACGCAGACTACAAGGAAGCCTTCCTGACTGATAAGGATATGGCCTATCAGGGCGGTTCCTGCCACATGCGCATCCAGCAGAACAGGTATTGCGACGACACCTGCCACGCAACTTCCTGACAGTGTGGCAAATCGCATCTGCCTGTGGAGATGTCCCTGCAATGTTGGTGCAACATGCTGTTAGTCAAAATGAAGCTACCGAAATGCACATGCAATCCAAAAAAAGCTGAATCGAATAACTGCGTGGAAGATACTATCCCCCGGAAAAAAAAAAAACGCATCCTCGAAGAGATCGGCTGGATCAGCATATTGGCAATGGATGCTGCATCGTGTCCAGCATGTAGGGCGCAATACGCTCCTCTATCCGCTAATGCCGCACGTAAATCCAAAGAGTAAACACTCGACGCGAGGGAATACTACTACCTGTCTGGCATGTTCCAGAAAATGTATGGAACGCAGTAACAGCCAAGAAGTAAAAACCAGAACAGCAGCACAGCGAATACGAGTTTGCCCAGTACATTCCAAAGCCAGGTTGTAACATGCTACACCAATTGACTTTGCTGCGGCGATGTGCAGCTGAAGCTTGTACTTCGATATGAAAACTTCCCACGCAGCTCTACAAAAATTGCATCGATGTGAAGACTGCGCGTGGCAGACCCTCCTAGCTGCGGATGTAACACATATAGCATCAAAACCCAAGGCACTGTCGCACTGGCGCCGCGGCGGGGGGAAGAAGGGGGTGCTCATCGAACCCTCAACCGAGGATCTTAGTGCCGCCCCGGAGGTCCTCCCAACTTCCAGCCCCAGCCCCAACCGCAAACAAGCGCTAGTCTCCGGGGATGCTAAGAAAGCCAGCGTGAGCGGAAGGGCTTCGCGCCTCTCACGGAAAGGTCGGGCCTCTAGCGCCTTGAAGAAGGGTCAGGGAAGGGGGCGCGCAAGCAGTTTATGACCCAACTGAGTGAAGCACCAGTGCCATATGGCAGCTCTCATTCCCGATTGGCGATCCTCCCTGGTCCCGACTTGTTCATGGCCAATCGTTATGCGGAGGTTATGCCCCCCCCGTTTGTGCACGGATATGGCGCCAAAGGGAAAAGTATCTTGCAGCTCTGGGGGAACGTGAACCGGCTGCCCACCCTGCCCGAGTCCATCTGGGGCAATGGTACCACCGTCCCTCTGTGGGCTTCGGTAGGAAAACAGGGCAGCGGGCCAGTGAGGCTCCAACTTTTCCCTGGGGTTCTCATGTATTGGAAAAAAGAGGTCTTGTCCTCTTGCAAAGCCACCCCGAAATGGCGCAGTCGGCCTAACACCCCGAAAGGGCAGCTAGCCATGCTGGCTGCCTCGCATGCATGGTTTGCACAGGTGGATTTGCCCTGGACTCTCTTTGTGGAAGATACTAAGGCCACGCCTTTGGGCCTTAGCCAATACTGGGACGACGGACTAGCCCTGCGGGTGCAGCAAGCCCTTGCAGCCTTCGCCTTTCCTGCTTTCCAGTCCCCGCCCCCAAAGCCTTACTTAACGCCTGCAGGGGGAGTGTCGGTCGCTCTTCATCAGTGGGATGAACGGGAAGAAAAAGAATACGCCCCCCTCTGTGTCCGGCAGTATCATCCACACCGCCAACTCTTATGCACTGACGGGCCTGGAGATGGAGGCAGTCCGTGAAAACCAGGGTAAGCCTGTCAGATACGACCTCACTCATCGCCCGCTGCTGCTCTCGTCCAGCGGCAACGCATCCCACGCTCTGCTGCTCCTGCCTCAGGCTGCCCAGGTGTGGGCGCGTGCTCTATACCCCAAGGTGGAAGGATGTGGATTGCCTGCTGCTGTGAGAGCTAGGATTACTTCCTTAACAATGCACCCTGCCTTGGCCCATTTGCACATGCCACACACTGCTGCGTTAACGGCTTTGCATGTGAGCCTCGCCGCGGGTAGTGCAGGTGAATGCAAATTGCGCGTCGCTGGATTCTCAGCTGGTTCCTATACGGGCGCAGCTGCGGTTATTGCTTGGCACGAGCGTCAACAACTTCCCCAATGCAAGGGTGACTTTGTCCCCATCGACGCACGCTTGAGCGGAATAGCCATGCCACGAGCCATGTTGCGTTATATTCTTACCTCGGAATTGCGGCATGCTGTTAGCCTTGTTCACCATGAGAGTGACCAGCTCTGCATCTTCCGGCCCAGTTTGGCAGCAAGAGAGCAAGCGATCTGCGAGGGAGCACGTCTATACTATTTCTCCGGGTCTGATGCACTCGGCAATGGTGGGCACTCTTATGGCCACTTCGTCGAAAGTGAGGAGCTCTTCCAACTTACGCCGGGGGACTATGTGCATAAAGACCTTACTCGAAAGATCTGCGGCTTGGCTGACCCTCGGCTTGATCGCGCAGTCCGAGCATCTTTAATGGGTGTCGCCTGCGGCTCTGTCCAGCTTCCCAAGCATTCGTCAAATCAGTACTAGGACGACTGATAACTCGCCCCGACATGGAGAAATTTCTCCGGCTGCCCCCTGCCTCGAATCGGGGTATCGCAAACCTACGAAGTGAATGCATCAAAGTCCTCTTGCCAGAAGCAAAGCCGTACCTGACGGACCTGCCACTACCGTATCATGAGCTGGGCCCCACGATGAAACTTGTGCTGGACATGTGGCTCCCTCACCTGCCACTTGAGCGCCTAGTTGACATGCTGGGCTACCAGTTCTTAGCCATGGCCTCTGAAGCAGAAATTGAGGAGGAGCCTTCGGAGCAATACCACTACCCAGAGCAAGCAGCAGTAAAGCGTGCCGGCACACCTGTGGCGGTCAAGCCAGGCAATCATACCTGGCCGATCTGCCTGCTTCACCGAGTCTGTCCAAAGGCGTCAGTCATCCTTCTCACCCCTGAGTTAATTGATGTCCCTGAATGGAGTAGACTTTGGTTTGCGGTTGCTGGCAAAGTCCCCGCCAAAGGTACTGCCTTGCTGGTTACCCTGCGAGAGGGTGGCGGGGATGTGGCATACCCCGGTGTGTTCATTGAGCTCCTATCCCCTAAAAAAGCTCCGCACCGGCCCGGGCGAGAGCAAAGCAATGCAGCCAGTCAATCTCACCATTGCCCTGCTCCTGACAGATGAGCAACACAGCCATTTCGTGAATCAACACACACTACCAAGAGTTAGCCAGCTCGAGGTGCTGCCCGGTGGAGCTTCCACCCCGCTTTGGGATGCACTGCTGCACATGCCCAAGGAGCGGCAGCATGTCGCATTAGGAATTCCGATGGAAGACTCGCCTCTTGATGCCATTCGGCAGCCACACTGGCTACCGGGTTTTCTCACGGACCTTGTGCTTGTTCTGATCATCGGATTGGTTGTTAAAGGGCATTGGCACGATTTGTGGGCCCAGTTGATTCATCCGGAGGTTTGCCAAGTGTTCAGGGGTAAGCATGAAACGCAAACTAACCAACCGTCGCCAGCCGGAGGCCCAGGGTCCACGACTCCCTTGAATACCTTCCTCACAAATTGGCTGGCTGAGGAGCAAACTTATGGCAAGGAATGGACTCCGCAGCTACTGACCGGCGTGTACTGTTAGCGACGCTACCAGATGCTCCGCTGCCCAGCCAAGAGGACGCCCGGACTCCTGCGCTGTGGCACGCGGAGGGTCTGCGTCTGCCCCCTGACTCGTTGAGCAGTGAACACGACCCGCGGAATCGAGCAAGTATTTTTGCGCTCGCGGTGGGCCCCACCTTCCTGGCGTGTCTGGCCGACACCTTTTGGGGAGCTGATGGCCATCTTGCCGCGCTGCTGGGAGCTTGCTCCTACGGTTTGGCTGCAAATCGCACCTCCGTATTCATTACTGGAGCACCTGGCAGTGGCAAAACGCGCTCCCTGTTGCTTGCCTGACGAGTCGACTTACCCTATACACTGCTCATGGCAATGAGTCGGTCCGGGCCTATGTCGAGACGGTGGATAGGTTAACGTCAGCCAGCAATGACTTTGTTCGCAGTCGCATCACTCGCATACCGGGCAACAAGGAGAAGGACACTTACAAGCTCCCCTTCGACGCGCATGATGTGAATCGAGGGCTACTTGTAGCCACGACACACGGGACGATCGTGGCACGGCTCAGCTTCCCTTACTCGTTGCTCATTAATCGCCTAAAGGATGTGGAGCTGCTGCTCCGAGATGAAGCACAGCAACTGGGCACACCAGGCTCCAATACCATTCTGACGCACATCAAGCATGCACTTGACGTCATGATCGGTGATCACAGACAGCCCGCAGGAGGGTCCCGACCCAACTACCACTATGTCACTGAACTGTTGGAGCAAAAGACTTGTGGCCTCAATGCGGTCCCTGCGGACCTTTATACGCCGGCCACCTTGCCCGCGGCACTGCTCAGACAGACGGCCAAAAATGCAGGACCGTGGAAAAAGGGACAATCCGAGATGCCTTCTTGGGGCAAGCCCAGCTCGAGCTCGGGCTTTTCCGATGTCTTGTTTTCACCGGTTTCCATGCTAGGGTCGATCCTTTGCATGAGTATCGTCAAGACGGTCATGCAGGCCGCCGGGCTCAAGGCCATTGTCGGACCGGCCGTCAATCTCTCGCTCTGCTCCTCCATG